TGAGGCGTGTCACCTGGAGCATACAGGCTGGACGAGGCGGTGTCAAAGGCATGTTCACACACACCCCAAAGGCTTCGCTTCTGTCCCTGCACTAGAGCCACAGCCTGACCGAATGTCAAATGGAGCAGCGGTTTAAAAAACCCCAACGCAGTAAGTAACCATTGAAGAATCCTAAAGCCAGAAGTAAAAAGAGCCCCAGAATTCCAAGCCTCTTTAAATGTCCTGCCCCAGGGAATAACTGAACCTGACTGCTGCTGATGAATCCTCGCCTCCGTCCATATTTTCCTAAATAGGGCTTCCTTGTTTAATATGAAGTAAATCTTTGTAACATCAGACTCACCCAAATCCAAAACACTATGAACATCTGACACACTAGTAGTAGGTTTAGCTCTCAGTTGCAAGTTCATGACAATGTAACATATTAGAAGGTGAAAGGAAAGGCCAATTACTGAGCATCTGTGTGTCAGGAGCTTCATGTACGTGACCGCATTTCCTCCTTCCACTACCCTAAAAGCCGGGCACTATTATTAGCATTTTAGGAACAAGGCAATTGAGCCTTAGAGCTGAAGTAACTTGGCCAAGTTAACAGCCAGTATACGAAGGGCGAAGTCAGGGCTGTTTTGACTCTGAAGCCCATGTTCTTCCATTAAAATACAATGCCCCCATCTCAAGCACTTGGTTTTAGAAAATGCATTCTATAATGAACAAATCAAATTAGGGAAATATGGAACTCTAAGAATTCAAAACATTTCAACACACAAGTGATGCTGTAAAAGCCTGTCTCAAAGGACACTGGAAGCCTCTCTATTCTGAGTGCCCCCTACTTACCGGGTGTTGCAAATGACTGCACCCCTTCCCGGAGAGAACCAAACCACCAGCTTAACCACAGTGGGCCTCTCCTTACACTCACTGACAACACTTCTCACACCACCAGTGTTTATCAGGCACCTTTAACGTCCAGGCACACTTCTCCTCCTCCCCGCTCATTCCTACACGCTGCTGACACTTCCCACGGACAGCTCTAGTCCTTCCCTGCCCACCCTTTCCACACCCCAAGTTCAGGCACCCTCACCTCTGGCCTGCACACCCGCAGAATCCTAACCTCAGAGGGTTTCCAGGTTCCAACTACCCTCTATGCGGCTGCAGGAGTTAACCATCAAAATCGCAGAGTGGGTTACAAAGCCCATATAATCCCAAACCTTGGGACCACGACATTCAAGGCTCCACTGAATCTGCTCCCCCTGCCTTTCCAGGCTGTTTCCACCACTGTCTTCCACACAGGGCTCAGGCTGGCTGCCCGTGCTGCGTGCCTTTCACCGCTCTGCTGCTGCTCCTGCTGTTTCCTGCTACTAGAAGACTCTCACCCGCTACCGGGCCAGATTATTCATTAATCTAACATTTACCAAGCACCCCACCACATGCAAGGCACTGAAAGATAACACAAGTGTTTTCAAAACTATAAGGTGCTGCACTAATATAAGGAATTATCTTGGCCCCACAAGGAGTCTGGATTTTATAAGACAATTAACAGGATTCTACTGAAGGTTTTTTAAGAATGGAATGAAGTATAAGCAAGGCTACAATTAGCAAGACAAGAACATGTTTGTAGAAAGAGGCAAAGAAGCCAATGAAAGAAGAAAAGCAAAGAGGCAAGTGAGAGTAAATGACTAAATGCTTGTCCTGTAACAAGCAGACGACAGGACAGATACAAGGTGACGGTGGAAAAGTGGGACTAGCTCTTCCTCAGGGGAAGGGGGAAGAAAAAGACTGATGGCTATTCAGAGATATTTTACCTAGAAAGGAACCAAGGTTGGGAGAACTCCCCCAGAGGCCTTTGTCTTCTCCATGATCTAGGAGAGTCACTTGTGCAGTAAAAGATTTAACCTTGCCCAAAAGGAGGTCTGGCCTTTGTGCTCAGCTGACAATGAGATTTTCGGTGGTAGCTGGCCACATAAGAAAGACTAACAATTCAACATGGGGTGGGGCTCTGGGTCATGCAGTATCAGCTGGCCTGGAAACTGAGATCAACCACATAAGCAATCAATCAATCACAGTGGAACCCCAATAAAGATTCTGAATACCAAGGCCCAGGGGGTACTTTCCAGGTTTTCAATACCCTCTGCAAACTGCCTCATATGAATTCACGGAAAGTAAGATATTCTGACCCCATGGGGAAAGGACACCAGAAGTCCCACCTCTGATACTTTCCTGGACTCTGCCCTATAAGCCTTACCTTGGCTGATTTTAGTCTGTATTCTTTCCCTGTAATGACAGCTTTCGGTGAGTTCTGTGAGTCCTTCTAGCAAATAATCACACATAAACCCAAAACGCTGCTTCAAGAAAATTATCCTGTAGAGCTGTACAGAGCAGGAAAGTTCTGGAATCATTAGGAAAACTACTTTTCAACTTACCCCAATCATTACCTTTGTATGTGAACTTACTCCTAGTCCCATTTCCTCAAATTAACAAAGATTATAATATTTATATCACCAAAGAGTCCAAGCCTGCAGTGAACAGTTTAGTAAGAATGTAAAAGTATGTCCATACTTTTGACTAAGTCAAGATTTTTTATATAAAGTTCCAGCCATTCTATTTATGCTGATATAATCACACGCCACAGAACAACATTTTGGTTAACAATGAGCTGCAGGCAGGATAGTCGTCTCAGAAGATCATAATGGACCTGCAGCAGTCCAACGGCCCAGTCACGTCATAGCACGACATTTCTCGCCCATGGTGATGCCGGTACACACGAACCAATGGGCTGCCAGTCATATCAAAGTACTGCGCATACAAATATGCACAGTATGTAATACTTGATAATAAATAAATCTACTATACTATACTTTTAATCATTAGAGTATACCTTCCACTTATACAGCAGTACGCCATGTTACACCGGCGGCAGCCTCACACATCTTGTTTGCTGTCTCTCAACTGCCTCGTCTTCTCTTGTGCTCATTTCTGTCAGGTTTGCAGCCCAAAAGCAACGTCTCTGGCATGTGGTCTAGGTGTGTAGTGCGACACACTGTCCAGGGTTGTGTAAGTACACTCTACAGTGTTCACACCCAGCATAATTGCCTAATGATGCCTATCTTGGAGTATATCCCCGTTATGAAGTGGTACCTATCTGTACCATGAGAAGAGGATTTCTAGAAGGGGATTTTGCTTTTGTAGTGCACAGGTGAGTGTGGCTGCCAAGTTCCAACCCACTCACCGGAAGCTGGGGCAGGCCCTGAGTCTTTGGTAACAATAGTTCTGTATACATTTTACCCACTTTGCCTTCATAGGAGGCACCTGTATCGAGTTCCAATTGTCGTTTTATGAATTCTTTAGGAAATTACCTTTTCAGATGGTCTTGTTCTCCTCCATCTCTCAACTCAACAGTCAATGTAAATCCTGGCCAGTGTGGCTCAGTTACTTGGAGCATTGTCCCATAAACCAAAAGTTTGAGGGTTCAATTCCTGGTCAGGGTACATGCCCAGGTTAGATCCCAGGTTGGGGCCACAGTGTGTATGAGAAAGCAACCAATCAATGTTTCTTTCTTTCCTTCTTTCTCTATCTTCCCCCTTTCTCTATCTCTAAAAGCAAGAAAAAATGTCCTTGGATAAGGATTTTTTTTAAAGGTCAATGTGAACCTACTAGTCTACCTCCAAAAAGTATGCGATCTAAATAACTTCAATAAATCTAAGCCTTCAGTTCTCCATACTATTCAAGAAATGGAATTTATCATTTGTGTTCCATTCCGTTTTTCAAACATCCCAACAGATGGTCACATTGACCAAGTTGTAACTTCCTAATAAACGAACTTAACAAGATACTTTTTAAAAGATAACTTTAGCCCAGACCGATGTGGCTCAGTTGGTTGTGTTGTCCCACAAAGTGAAAGGTCACCAGTTCAATTCCCAGTCAGGGCACATGCCTAGGTTGCTGGTTCGGTCCCTGTTTGGGGCATGTACAAGAGAAAACCAACTGATGTCTCTCTCCCATCGATGTTTCTCTCTTTTTCTCCCTTCCTTCCCCCCCCCTGTAAAATACAATAAATAAATATTTAAAAGGTGACTTTAGAAAAGTTGTAAGACAATATCAAAAAATTAAATTCCTCATCTGTGAGGTGAAGAGTTTAGGAAGAAAAATATGTTGAACTAGATTTCTAGACCACCTGAGACAGTGAGAGTGAAACAGACAAATCCATGCACATGCACTAAGCAGAATGCAAATATAACAGGGTAGCAAAGGTTTGGAAAGCACTGTGCACAACCTGGACAGCAAAGGAAACTGCAAGGCAGCTGTATCAGCAGTTCTTCTCACACTCCAATGTAACTACCATAATAAACTGGTTGCCCTTGAACGAATAAAGTATGTCCAGCCAAGAGCAAAAAGAGACTTAGTTCCAGCAGCAATGACTCCTCAAGAGAGATGAGACTTGGCCACACCAAGAAAAGATGCAGACGTTGCCTTAAGGTTGACCTGACTGTCCCATATTCCCTGACAGGAACCAACCTCCCTCCACCAAAGATCACTGACAGTGGAAGAGAAGATAATAAAAAAGATGTGCAAAGAATGAAAGAGAAAAGTTACAAACTGAAAAGGGAGGGAAGAACAAGAGCATTCAAGAAGACAAGCACGATGTGGGAGAAAGCCCACTGTAATATATGCCTATAAACAACTCTTGACAGCTTACAGAAGGGTTTATAGCCATTCTCTAGCCCTAGTAACAACCGGTTATTAGAGGAGAAAATCGTGGCCCGAGAGCTGACTGTTACACCCAAGGTCAGGCAAAAAGCTGAGACTGCATTTAGGGCCCTCTCCCGAAAGATCAACTAAAGAGTGACACGGAGACGCCTGGAGGAGTCAAGTGCAAGCACAGAAGTGCTCTGAGGAATTCAGGAATGTTGCAGATCACGGCGGGGTGGAGGACGGGGAGCAGAGGGCAGAGAGTAGCAGGGAGACCTGGGCGTAAGCACCCGGCCCGGCCCAGCCTAGCCCTCCACACTCACCCGAGGCCCGGGAGGGGTCGCCCGGCGCTGCGGCTCCTCCTGGCCTGCGGCGGCCGCGGCGGCGACTGCAGGGGCCGAAGCAGGGACGCATCATGCGGCCGCGATCATGGCCGGGCTGGAGCAGGCCGCGTGCCTCGGCTCCGGTTGCTCCCACCGGGCCAATCGGAGGGAGGTGGCCGCCGAACACACACCGGACCTCAGAACCTGCCCGGAGAGCCGGGCTGCGCGACCCCCGGAAGTGAACCCGGGGGGGGGGGGCGGTCAGCGGTATCGCGCGTGCGCAGTTCCGGCTGTCCCCTCACCCGATCGCAGAGAGGGGAGCGCGAGGCGCTTTTCGGGACTTGGCGACCAGGGTCCTTCTGGAACAGAGGACAGTCAGTTCCTTGAGGAAGGCAGCTTCTAGTCACAGGCTCCCCTCTCTAAAGTAAAAGGATCCCTCCAAAGTGATATCCGGAAGAGAAAGGATTGGGGTTACGGGCTGGCGCAAGGTCCAAGCCACGCGTGAGGCTGTCACACTCGGTCCAGAGTTCTTGCAGAGGTGATTCGAGCCCGCGGCGACCTCTCAAAGAGCTGTCAGCTTTAGGCGTGGTCTGTACGGCACGCGAGAATGGGAACTCAGAAAGAAGGAAATGGAAACGAGAGTGAAAAAACGGTGGCAGAAACACGTGGGGGAAAGGGGAAGCGCACTGGACTGGGGATTGGAGGCCTGATTCCTGGGTCTGCTGAGGCGCAGGGCTCCCTCTCCGAGGGACCTGGACGCCAGAACCTACCAACGATTCCTTCCAGATGATGAGTCCTAAGTTTTTTGAAGGTAGACACTTTTTTTTAATTTATTTGGGTTTCCTATAATTGGGACAATTGCTGCCGGGCTGGGAAGTAGATGCTCAGTGTTTGTTGTAAACTGGTGAGTACTCACTAAATTGTTAGGTTGAGAAAAGCAGTGATTACAGCGGAGGAATCAGAATCTCACTCTCTGCACGCCGCTTTCTCACTCCTCAGTTCTTGCCCCCCAAAACTCTTATTCCAGACAAACTTTCAGAAGTAAGGGGTGAATTAAATCAATCACCAAAATTCCAGCTTTAAAAGTTTAAAGCTCTGTTAGTAGGCCTTGCACCTCTGTATTCAGAGTGGCTCTATGCATCCAGTCACCCCTCACTGAGCCTCCTGTTGCCTGGCAGGTTTTTTTCCACGAGGGAGGAAAGTGAGGTTGGCCTCCATCAGTGGTCATTTGTTTTCACATAGGCTGAAGGGGCGGTTATCTTTGATAACACCCAGACTGTACTGGAGATACACTTGCTGCAAGCAATGTTAAAAGAATATATATATTTTAAAGTTTACATCATGACTTTTATACAAGTATAAACACATGTAAAAGATTTAGTTTAACTCACTAACTAAGGAAGAAGTATGCAAGATGATACAAATGGTTGAGAGATTAATCCAAAAGGCAGACACATCTATAGGCTGTCAGGAATGCAAAACTTGCTTATGAGATGCAAAACTAGCTCCTTCTACAGTGGGGGCGGGAGGTCAGTTGAACGTCTGCCCTTGTACGTCTGTTATCTGTGGGCAAGAATCACTTGCATTGCTCTTAGTTCTCAACACCCTGTAGAGTTCTAGATAGAAAGGGAAAAAGCTCACGGAGCCAGATCACCCAGAAGGGTGTTCCAGACAATCCCGGAAGACACCCAATAATCTTTTTGACTCATTAAAGTCTTCCACAAAAAATAAAGAGGGGGGATCCATACCCCATAATTTTCTTGATGCCCCGCACTTGTTATATTGCTTGTGTTTTTAATTACTAGTATACCTTGTTTATCGTAACTTTAAAATTGCACCCTTGCTAAAGAAAATAATAACACAATAAAAATAATTCATTAAAATATTTAACAAGGATGGCAACAGTTGACAAAAACAACTGAACTCTTATGAAAGATTTTTATCTCTTTCTCAACAGTGGTCTTCTGCAAGTCATTTCCCCTCTCCAAGCCTCAGCTTCTTTGTGTGTGTTTTTTAAACCTCTAAAATATGAGATTAGATTTGATTTCTAAGGTTCCTTCCTGTTTTAAGATGGTGTTTCAACCCAGAGTGTTTTGCCTCTCCTTGATTTTACTGAGGTCCTGGGAGCAGAAAAGCTAAAATTGGAAATCTTTACAGAGAAGGGAACATCCCGTTTTCCAGGTTAGTTCTGTTTTCCCTTCAGGAGCTAGTTTCCAGCTAACCAGTCATCCCAGGAAACAGCCCTTTTTAAAGTGGAGGCTCAGCTTATAGACCGAAAGCCACGACTTTTAGTCTTTTTCCCATCTTGCCTTATGGTGGTGTAAAAACTGAGGAACCAGATGCTAAGGAGAAGAAATCTGAAGCCAGGAAGGCTGATGCTGATGGCCAGGTTAAGAGGGCTAACCTCAAGGCCAAGACGCCTAAGAAGGGGAAGCCCCACTGCAGCTCGAACCCTGTCCTTGTCAGAGGAATTGGCAGGTATTCCTGAAAGGCCATGTACAAGAGGAAGTATTTGGCAGCTAAACCCAGGATTGAAAAGAAAAAGGAGAAAGTTATGGCCACTGTCACAAAACCAGTTGGTAGTGACACAAATGGTGGTACCCGAATGGTTCAACTTTGAGAAATGCCTAGATACTACTCTAAGATGTGCCTCGAAAGCTGTTGAGCCATGGCAAGAAGCCCTTCAGTCACACGTGAGAAATGCGGGCCAGCATCACTCCCGGAACCATTCTGACCGTCCTCACTGGGCACCACAGAGGCAGGAGGGTGGTTTTCCTGAAGCAGCTGAGCAGTGACTTGCTGCTCGCGACTGGACCTCTGGCCCTTCATGGAGTTCCTTGGCATAAAACATGCCAGAAATTTGTCATCGGCACCTCCAGCAAAATTGGTATCAGTGGTGTGAAAATCCTCAAACATCTCACTGATGCTTACTTCAAGAAGAAGCAGCTGCACAAGCCCAGATACCATGAGGGGGAGATCTTTGACACCGAGAAGGAGAAATACGAGCTCCCAAAGCAACGCGAGGTCGATCAGAAGAAATTCATGGATTCGCAAATTCTTCCAAAAATCAAAGCTGTTCCTGAGCTCCAGGACTACCTCCGCTCTGTGTTTGCTCTCACAAACGGGCTTTATCCTCACAAAATGAAGTTCTGAATTTCTTTCAAGAAACCTAATTAAATAACTGATCTTTAAAAAAAAATAAAGTGGAGGCTCTATTCAAATATGTGAAAAGACTCTCAGCTCTAATTCAAAATAAAAAGAAATCCCATTTATAATTTAGTAGATTAGGAAAATAAAAGTTTGGTATACTCTGTGTTGGTAAGGCAGACCAAGTCGGTGCAATTGGAAATTCATTCAGCTCTTTGCAGAGCAAGATAGCAAAATGAATCACAAAAACTTAAGTTATATACTCTTTGACCCAGTGATTCCTCTCTTTGGAATTTATCTTGCAGATACACTTACCCATGTGCACAAAGATGTTTGCACTTGAGTACTTATAGTAGCATTTTTTAGAAGCAAAAAACTGGCATCAGCCTATATGCCATCAATACACTAAATAAACTATGTTGTACACAAGGGAATGCTGTGCTGTGCAATTATAAAAAGGGGATGTGCCCTGGCCGGTATGGCTTAGTTCGTTGGAGTGTCTTCCTGTAAACAGAAGGGCTGAGGGTTTGATTCCCAGTCAGGGCACATGCCTAGATTGCAGGTTTGGTCCCTGGATGGGGGTACATAGAGGAGGCAACTGATCAATGTTTCTCTCCCTCCCTCTCCCTCTCTCTAAAATCAGTGGGCATGTCCTCAGTTGAGGATTCAAAAAGAGAGCGAGAGAATGAGGCATATTTTTATGTGTTAAAATATGGATGGTCTTCTAGGTACAGTAAGTCTATTGTATAAAACTGCATTTGTGTAAAAAAAGAAGAGTAGGGGATCTATGTTTTTTAGTCCACAGAATATTTATGGAAAAATATACAAGAAGAAGGTGTGTAACTTATTTTTTAACCATTTATTCATTTTTAAATACATAAAAATATAATTTAAATGAAATGAAACAACCCAGTAAAACAATTGGCAGAACACTTGGACAAATACTTCACAAAAGAGACTTCCCAAAACTGTTCATTTTCATTAGTCATCAGGAAAATACAAAGTTAAACCACAATGAAATACTATTTATACATAAACATGAAAACCCCCAAGTGTTGGCAAGCATTGGAGTAGCTAGAAGTTCATGCACTGCTGGTGGACATGACACCCTCAGGCTGCCTTGGACAAGTGTTAAGAGTGTCTGCTGGGGCTGAGCATATGGTACCTACATTCACCAAGAGACATGCACCAGAATGTTCACACAATACCCACAATAGCCCTAAACGAAACAACCTGAAGTCCATGGGCAACAGAATGAATAAATACATTGTGGTGTATACAGTACAGTATACAGTAAAATGCCGTACAGAATAAAAGTATATACTACACACACCAGTACAGAGCAATCTCACTAATACGATGTTGAGTAAAGTAAAACACAAAAGAGTACATATTATCTGATCTCATTAAAAAGTTCAAAGCCAGGCAAAACTGCTCTTTGGCTTAGGAAGACAGGGCAGGGCAGTGTTTACTATTGAGGGGGGATGCTAGGGTGCTAGTAATATTCTATTTCTTCATATGGCTGCTGGTTGTATGGGTGCTCATTTGGTGAAAATTCACCTAGCCACGTACACTTCTAATTTGTTTGCTCTACTTCAAGTACACAGTGGGAGGGAGAGAGAAGACAGACAGAAGTACAGAGGTTTGTTCCAGAAGGATGCTCTGGGTTGGCTCTTATTTTTTCCACTGAATTTGTAGTATTGGATGCAACAGCCAGACTAGGGAAGCCAGAAGGCTGGAACTCCACAACCCGTGGTGTTAGACAAGGCCCAGAAAGTGGTGTGTCACTGGGCCACTGCGCCTTGAGCTATGGGTAGAGCCTGCTGGGGCCCCAGCCTGTCCTGGTAGGAGGGTGTATGGCTAGTGGACGGGTATGGAGCAATTACTGAGTGTCGGGCTCTGGGCATGGTGCTCTTTGTCCCCTGGATAGCACAAGCTTGCTCTCTTGTGCCCTTTGGGACTTGATTTGGAAGGCATCTTCTCCCTGAAGCCCCATCTAAAATTTCTCCCTCCCTTCCATGTCTAACAGTTCCCTTCCCCCTTCCAGCTTTGCTCCTGTCACACCTCAGCTACCTTCCA